ATATATATCTTTTTGTAAATTGTTTATCATCATCAAAAAGGGGGAGATTGATGGGTCACTTTATTTTGATGATTTTTTAACAAACAATTTATCACTAATGTTATTTGTCTAGTGTTTGTGTTTTTGTATTTATTCTAGGCAAACAACGTGTTTCAGGATGAATGGACTTGCGCCATAACGATCATATCAAATGGAGGTTGGCGGAAATAGTGGAGTGAGGCAATGCAATTCAAGTTAAAGATTCAAGTTCCTACTTCATCCGTAAGTATACCAAGATAGAGCTTCGTTGAAGATCACAAGCTTGGATATATTTAGTTTTAGGTTTATACTTGTGTGTAGATACTTTAAGCTCATATATTAATCACACACACGTATCTGTTGATTTTGTTTATTTTATCAAAATATAGGTGTTTTTGTGAAAATATTGTTTTATTTTATTATAGACTTTAATATCAGTTTATACATACTTTATTAAGTTTATAAAATCACTTTATAAAGTTTCAAAATATAGTTTAGTCAAAATGATAAAAAACAAGTGTTGTATTTTCATGTTTTGGACTATTTTTCAAAATAATAATATTTTATAAATGTGAAGTGAAATTCCAAAAATTCTTTTTGTAACATGTTCACTTACATGTTTATAATTATTTCCCAAAGTTTCATAATTTTTGAAATTTATTTGATATTTTTAAAGGCACTTCAAAGTTTAGTTTTATTGTTCATTTCAGGCTGATATTGTGTTATCACTCGACTGATCACTCGACAGATGAAAATGTCTGGAATTATAAAAAAGTCTCTGTTTCTTTTCAGTCGACTGATCAGTCGGCTGATGAGGTCATTAGTCGACCGACGAGATCATCAGTTGACTGATAAACTCACAATGGCTAATTTTTGTACAATTTCCAGATTTTTGTTTTTTGACCAGTTTACAAAATAAATTATTTCTCTCAAATAAGAACTGATATTTATAAAATTATTTCTCTAACATGTTCACATACATGTTCAGAAACGTCCCTCAAAATTTCATAATTTTTGGAGTTGATTTACTATGTCAAATTGATCTTACAAGATTGGGTGTTTCAGTAGTTTTTAGAGACTATAATATCTGTGTTCAAATAATTCTTTCTCACAAATAGGAAGTGATATTTATGAAATTCTTTCTCTAACATGTTTTTCTATATGTTTAGATACGTCCCTCTAAATTCATGATTTTTAAAGTTGATTTATTATTTTTAATTGATTTTACAAAGCCAGATACGTAAAATTCTAGAACTCTAAAACTGTCTGTTTTTATTCTGGTCGAGTGACCTGTCAACTGATGAGGTCATCAGTCGACATATCAGTCGACCGATGACATGATAACGGTTAGTTTTTCCAAATTTTTAGTTTCCGTTATTTTCTTTTTGTGATGTTTTCTCTTGGTTTTTGGGGTTGTTTCATGAGCCTATATGTACCCCATGCCCTCATCCTTCTGAGGCTAATTAAGAAAAGTTTTAAAAGAGGTGTAACAAGTTTAAAGGGTGTTTAGTGTTTTCTTCAAGTTTGAGTTTTGAGTTTCAAGTTTGTGAAGCAATTTTCACAAGAGCTAGAAGAGATCATCCTTTAGTGTTTGAGCTTTAACTCATCTCTCTCTCTCTCTCTCTCTCTCTCTCTCTTGTTATTCATTGGAGAAGTTTTCTAAACTCAAACTCTAGCTTTACATTTATATAATTGTTTGATTAATATTGTTTTAAGCTAGATTTCATATTTGAGTTTAGTTTTGATTTCACTCATTATTTACACACGCCCACTTGAGCTTAAGTATTTTCATATATAGTATTATTGGGGTTGTGAGAGTTGTAACAATTAAGTGTTAGCCTACATTGAGTTCTCATCTATTGTAGAGAATAAATCTTATTGTATTCGAGCTTTAATTGTGAAGTTACACTTTGTAATACACTCTCTCGAGAGAAGTGTGTGGTGAGAGACGGGATCGTCCCAAGAGGAATGGGGTATATGGTAATGCCTAGAGGTAGGTTGTAATTCCTAACACTTGAGGGAGACATGGACTAGAGGCCAACACTTAGAGGGTGTAAAGTATGATTACAAGAGTTTGAGATTGTAAAGTTTTCGGTGAACTAAAAAACCGATTGTGAGGTGTAAATGTTGTTCGGATGAGCGTAGAAAACCTAGTTTTATAGTGGAGATCTCCTCGAGGTGAGGAGCGGAGACGTAGGTCGTGGGGACCGAACTCCGTGATCAAATGATTGTGTTTGAGTTTGGCTTGTGCACTTATATTTAGTTTATCTCTTTCGCCATTCTCTTTTGTATAATTCATCCACTATATCATTTGTATTTGTTTATCTTGTTTCACCCTTGTTTATATTGGTTATCCTTGCATATATATCTTATTGCGTATCATTCTTGCTAGAATATTTATCAATTAGTTTTAATTTGGCATAAATCGGATTAGATTAGCATAAACCCTATTCACCCCCCTCTAGGGTTCTTTCCTAGTGGCAATAGGGTGCTTTCACTTATCGCCTTGTCAAACCAAACAGAGATAAGATCATGATGCCTATTAATGACAAAATTTTAAAGAAGTACTACCCGTAGTCTTCCATGAACTCCCACAAGGTTATCACATTAACAGTCACATCTGATAACTAATTTCCTCACCAATCCTTTTCAATAGGAATGTGGGTCTTTAAAATTATCAAGTTAACAGTCATTTCTGATAAATGATTTCCTCCAAAATTTTCCAGTCGATCCTCTCCAACAGGACGATGGGTCTACTCTCACTATCATGTTAATATTACACCTCTGATAAATCATCTTACCAATCCTCTTTAATAGGATGGTAAGTCCTTAAAGTCGCTCCGATCGCGACAATCCCATGACGTTAACACTAAACCTTTGACAAACCCCCCACAAATCTTCTCTAATAGGATGGTAGGTCCACAAAGCTATCACATTAATCATTACCTCTGATAGTCAACTTTGTCATTCTTGCAAATAATGTTTTCTGATCAATCGTCATACTCCTACGTCCCTAAACGATTTGATCTATTTCGGGCATTCTATATATCCATACAACAATCGATGATAGTAGCCTACAATGCAATGTGCTACTATTCTAATCAGTCATCACACTCATACATCCCTGAATGATCTAATTACTCTAACATTGTCATTCCTACAAATAACGTTGTTCGTCGATAATGGCCTACCAAGCGATGTGCCCTATTGATTGACCATTCCTGAGTAATGACCTACCAAACGATGAGTCGTTATTTGGACCCTCGAACAATCACTTACACAAGCGGTCACTCATTTTTGGTCCAAGTTGTTATATTTAACGACATGGCCTAACCCAATTACAGCTCAACAATTGTAATTAACTTAACCTAACGTCTCGAATGGCTAAGGGTGGAGAATAAATTTTAGCATTAAGTCTAAAAAAAACTTCTTGACAACTCATCATACTAAGGGGAATAGTATGACTAGCTCGATTTAAACGATAATCGGTAAAGGAAAATCAAACTCATTGATAGCTAAGAAATTGCGACCAAGGGGAGGTGGCTGCGATGATGAGGGGCTGTGGGTGCTGAGGTGGCCAACGGGGGAAGAGAGGCGGGGGGGCGGGGGGGCTGGGGG